CCCTGGGTAGAGTGCTGTGGCATTACAGCTCACAGCAACCTTCAACTCCTGGGCTCAAGCGAGTCTCCTGCCTCAGCCTCCCAAGTAGCTGAGACTATAGGTGCCTGCCACAACGGCAGGCTATTTTTTGGTTGGATTTGAACCTGCCAGTTCAGGTGTATGTGGCTGGCACCTTAGCGGCCTAAGCCATAGGCGCCGAGCCTCAACCTTCTTAATCTCCCTGGCTTGGCCAGCCTCTGGGGGTTATTGGTCCCTGCTCCGAGGAGTCTGGTCCAGATGAGGGCAGACACACACAGTCCATCTGTATGCGGCAGAACTATGTAGAGCACAAGTTAATGAGGAGGGCAGCAATGGATGTTGGCTGGAGAGCCAAAGGAATCTTTTTGAGCTGGAACACGGAGTAAAGTAGGGGCTTTTCAGGGGTGAAGGTGTATCTGAGGTGGAGGCTACTCAGCCTGTGCAAAGCATGCTGGGGAAATCACTGGGAGAAGGAGCAGTTTGGGGACCAAATTGTTTTGTTGCAGTATCTGCATCTCAGCCGCCTGTACTTCAGAATGTAAGCTCCACACCTGCCACTTGAGGCCGTACTCCCTTCCAGACCTTGCAGGTTTTAACCACTGCCTAGCAGCAGCGAGAGCGCCCCCTAGTGACCTCCTGTGGCTAGACGTGACCCAGTGGTGCCCTCTGCGCCTCTCAGCAGCTATTAAGGGTAAGTGCAATTTGCCTGGCATCCTCTCACTTGCTCTCTATCCCTTCAGTGATGTACACCTTGAGCTGGTAAATGCTTATTACGCACTCACTCTTGTGTTGATCACTGTTCTAGGTATTGGGATAGTTTGAATCATTGATCATACCAGCCCTGGAGTGCTTACAGAGAAGTACAAGATAATGGGGTTTGTTCCCAGGGCTGAGGGGACTAGAGGAAGGAGTCTGTTTTGAGCCTCAAAGGACAGAGGAGTGTAAGACAAAGTAGGGGGTTAGAAGGAAATATATGGTGTCCTGTGAAATGGAAAGGAATGAGCTCCACCCCTAGCCATCTAGTCAACATCTACTTAAACTACCATTCACTAAGGTCGTGGAGGGAGCATGAGGTGCTGGCAACCCCGAGATGACTAAGATGCCATTTGTAGCTCTGGAAGCCACAACCTGGCAGAAAGGCAGACAAGTAAAATAAGAGATACCCTGTGCTCAGAGTCCTATTAGGAGAAATAGAGCTGAGGAGCAAGGAGTATCTGCCATCTGTGGGTGGGTGCAGTTTGAGCTTAGCTGAGGAATAAGAAAGGAGGAGGTGTTTCAGGCTGAGAGCACAATAGGCACAAAATACCACAGATGTGTTACCCACCTAAAGGAAGCCCATCTTAGGATGCTAAGAAGGTTCTGCTTCTTGATTTGGTTGCTTGCTTAAGAGGTGTGTGCAGTTACAGAAATTCACTGAGCTGCACACTAATGACTTTATGTGTGTACATTTGCTCACTTATACTGTTACTGAAAAGTAGCCCCCAGCCTCTTTTGTAAGTCTAGACTGGGGAGTCATACTGTTAGGTTTGGGATCCAGTAATCTTATCCCAGCCCTCAGGCCTTAGGGGCTCAACCTCACTGAGTCACCTTCCTCACCTGTAAAATGGGGATAATAGTACCTTTATCAGAGTTGTGTGCTGAGCCAACAATGTGAGATGTGTAGAGTATTTAAATAGTGCTTATCTGGATAATACCAAATTTCTAATGGTTAGCAGTGCCTGGCACAGAGGAGCTCACTATGATTTGAATTTAAATTTAGCACATTTAATTTACATAAATTTAATTTATGAATTAAAAGTCTGACCTTTTTTTTGCACACCAGGAGGCTGTTTGAACAAATGCAGGGGCATGGGTTGGAGTGTAGAGTACCTCCATTAGAGCCTCCTGGGCAGCAGCTCAGAGCCTGGGCAGGGGCTGCATTCTTGTGCAGAAGCCAAGCTCCTATAGGTGGGGAGGGAGAAGGCCAGTGACTTGGGACCTGCTGGGTGGAGATAAGAGAGCCCCAGATCAAGCCTGTGTGTCCCTCCCCCACCTCACATACCCATGAGGTTAGGGCTACTCTGTGATTGTGCAGGCTTGACCAGGAAGAAATAATGGTATACCGCAGCTCTGTAGCTCCCCACACCCCTACTCCCCCAGGCCCTCTCACCCCTCCCCTCTGGTGGTCAAACTTGGCACTTGTCCCCACCCTCAGGGGCCAGGGCAGTTTCGGGAGAAGTGGGAAAACCTGCTCAACAAGGTGACCAAAGCCTGAACCAGTTAGACAGGGCAGTTGCATCTCCCCCCAACAACCTGTCTCTCCTCCTGGCCCACAGAACAGAGGCTGAAACCCCATAGAAGAAACCATTTTATTACCCTGTGGGTAGATTGGCATAGTGGGGGTGGGGGTGCAGGATGCAGGTGAGCCTCTTCTGGCTCTGCCTGTCCAGGCCAGGGTGGGGCTGGTCAAGGGTGGAAAGCTCCATCCCGGGGGAAGATGAGGGAACAGGCAGAGCACCCGTCATTCCTCTGCACCCACCCCATGGCATTAAATAAACACAGAGCAACTCTTTACAGCACAAACTACACAGGGAAGTCCTTCCTCCCAGCCCTGGATTATACAGCATGGAAGGGAACCTCTGGAGGACAAGGTTGGGGCCTCCAGCTTGTCACCAACCCGTGGGGCAGGGGCAGGCAGCTCTGAACAAGAAACAAAACTCCAACTTCCTCAGAACTCCTGGGCAGACAGGTCCATTTACTTATTGTACTTCTGGCCTAAGGGTTTTCTGATACCCCCAGACCCTTGAGTTTCCTCAGAACCTGAGCTTAGCTGAGACTCCTCCAATAGGGGCTGGAGTCCGGGCCTTTGAGGCAGAGTGGGCCCGAGAAACAGGCAGAGGGCGTCTGGTCCTAAAGTTTTCCCAGCCCAGTCTATCTTGGCAAGTAGAAAGCAGGACCACATGAGAGCTGGCAAGAGCCCCAGGCTCAGAGGGGTCGGGTGGTGTGATAATAGACCAGGTGCTCTGTGTCCTCAGTAGTGGAGACAGTGGAGCTGGCGGGGGTTGGCAGTGGCTGGTGGTCATGGCTGCGGAAGCCCTTTCTCTGGTTCTTGAAGAAGTAGTAACCCAGGATGGCTACCACCACCACGATGCAGGTGGCCAGGAGTACTGCCACAGCTACCTCCACAAAGCCTAGGGGAAGAAAGAGTGAAACAAGGAGCTCCTGGGGCCTGCTGGTTCTGACACCCACGCCCCCACTCTGTGGAAGGGACCAAGTCAAATGGATGCTAGTGTGGAAGGACACAGGCACCCAATTTAGACCCTCCACACCCAAGCAACTGAATGGCTCCATCAGGGAGCCCAGAGGGATTCTGGTGGGCCTCAGGTCTTGGCTCCAAGTTGCAGGTAGCTTAGGGAAAGGCCTGGAACTCTGATGCAAACATCTGGCACGCACTTTACTATACTTCTCCCCTTGCCCATGGTAAGCATCACTATTTGAGTGTGGTACTGTCTCAGGATCTATTTCAACACAGGTTTAGACAGTCACAACCAATCAGGAAGAGTTGATTCCTTGAGTTGATACCTCCATGTCAACTTCGGTAACAGGACAGAACAGGGCTTACCTACACCGGGAATGGGGTTTTCCCGCCGCAGACCAAATACATCCTTCTCTGTAGAACAGTAAGGGTAGAGACCAGTCAGCCCTCAGCTGCTCCCCTGCGCCCCAGACCCTCTAGTGCCATTCTCTCCCACTCTGACTCCAGGCACTGTGAGGAAGGAGGGGTGACTCACCCAGGCCTTTCTCCACCACACCTTTGCCCATCCCAGCCTCACTCACTGGAGATGCCTCGACAGGAGTCAAGACACTGCCACTCTTCCTCAAAGTTGTTCTTGTTGCCATCGCAACCACCGTAGGTAAAGCGGGCACAGCGTTCGCTGAAGGGGTTGTAGTACCAGCGTGGGATGTTCTCCTGGCAGAGTCCTGTGTCTGGCAGGTCTACGCAGTGCCCTGGGGGGTAAGGAGCAGGCCAAGTGGTGAGTGAGTGCCTAGGGCCTCCTGCCACCATCTGTCAGGCTCCACACAGTTGCTGCCCACCACCTCCCAACCCACCTTGTGCTCAAGGCAGCTGTGGCAGCCAGAAGGCCTGAGAGGCCCCAGAAACAGCCTATCTTCAGTGTTGCCAAGAGCAAGGAAGACAAACCTTGGACAATAATCTTAGGCACCATGGTAAAGTATATTAGCTCATAGTTATTTTTCTTTTTTTTTTTTTACAGTCTCTAGCCTAGGCTAGAGTGCAGTGGCATCATCATACCTCATAGCAACCTCAAACTCCTGGGCTCAGGGCAGCACCTGTGGCTCAAAGGAGTGGGGCACAGGCCCCATATGCCAGAGGTGGTGGGTTCAAACCCAGCCCCGGCCAAAAAAAAAATCCTGGGTTCAAGTCATCCTCCTACCTCAGCTTCTTAAGCAGCTGAGACTGTAGGCATATGGCCAGTAGTACACCTGGATAATTTTTTCTATTTTTAGTTGAGATGAGGTCTCACTCTTGCTCAGGCTAGTCTCAAACTTCTGAGCTCAAAGGATCCTTCCACCTCAGCTTCCGAAAGTGCTAGGATTTACAGGCGTGAGCCACCATGCCTAGCCTCTTCAATTTTCTTTCAGCTTTTCTGACTGTGTCAAGGTCTCCGTTTTCTTTTCTTTTTCTTTTGAGACAGAGCCACAAGTTGTCACCCTGGGTAGAGTGCCGTGGCATCATAGCTCACAGTAACCTCCAACTCCTGGGCTCAAGTGATTCTCCTGCCTCTGCCTCCCAAGTAGCTGGGACTACAGGCGTCCACCACAACATCTGGCTATGTTTTAGTTGCAGCTGTTGTTGTTGTTTGGTGGGCCCGGGCTGGATTCAAACCTGCCAGCTCAGGGGTACGTGGCTGGCACCTTAGCTGCTTGTGCCATAGATACCGAGCCAAGGTCTCAGTTTTCTAACCTGGTTAACTTTTCTAACAAAGTTAGAAAAGGGTCTGAAGCTTGGCAGGCAATAATGTCCAGCTAAAATTTATTAACATTGTTTTATTATATATACTTTAATTATTATTTTCAAAGTATGGCATATAATAGCAGCTTCCTATTATGATAGTAATATGAAATTTCCTCTTTTTTTTTGAGACAGAGTCTTATTATTATTTTTTTTTTGCAGAGTCTTATTTTGTCACCCTTGGTAGAGTACCAGGATATCATAGCTCATAGCAACCTTTAAAAAACTTTTGGGCTCAAGTGATCCTTTTGTTTTAGCCTCCAAGTTGCTGGGACTATAGGTACCAGCTATTTTTAGAAATGGGATCTCGGCTCAGTGCCTGTGGCTCAAGCGGCTAAGGCGCCAGCCATGTAAACCCAGGGTGGCAGGTTTCAATCCAGCCCTGGCCTGCCATACAAAAATAGCTGGGCATTGTGGCAGGCGCCTGTGGTCCCAGCTACTTGGGAGGCAGAGGCAGAAGACTTGCTTGAGCCCAGGAGTTGGAGGTTGCTGTGAGCTGTGATGCCACCGCACTCTACCCAGGCTTCTGTCTCGAAAAAAAAAAAAAAAAAAGAAATGGGATCACACTCTTGCTCAGGTTGGTCTCGAACTCCTAAGCTCAAGCAATCCACCCACCTCAGCCTCTCAGAGTGCAAGGATTGGTTATAAGCATGAGGCAGTGTGGCTGGCCTTGATATTTCCTTTCCTTTTTTTTTTTTTTAGAGACAGAGTCTCATTTTATCGCCCTCGGTAAAGTGCTGTGGCGTTACACAGCTCAAAGCAACCTCCAACTCCTGAGCCTAGGCGATTCTCTTGCTTCAGCCTTCTGAGTAGCTGGGACTACAGGCACCCACCACAATGCCTGGCTATTTTTTTGTTGCAGTTTGGCTAGGGCCAGGTTTGAACCCGCCACCCTCGGTATATGGGGCTAGGACCCTGCCCACTGAGCCACAGGTGGTACCCGAAATTTCCTTTTCAATTATTAGTTAAACAAAGTAATTGATTAAGTAAATAACATCTTGGTGATACATGATGGGCATGGTTAGTTATGAAGTTCTTCAGAGAATGAGTGATGCCTGGAAAACACAGCACCACAGAAGAGAGCCCTGGAGCCAGCCAGGGAACAGGTTACTACCTGGAGAACTGGGAAGCCCACATGGCTCTTTGTGCCCAGTGCTGGATAGAATGAGTGAGGATGGCAGTGCCAGCATCTGCCCTGACCCAGGGGACCTACGGAAGATCTCACCTTTTTCACTGGGGAAATGGATGCTCTGGAGTTCGTCAAAGCCACTGGTATCTGCAGAGATGAAAGGTCAGAGGGTCTGCCCAGAGGCGTAGGGCAGAGTTATTAGGGCCTCCCCATCTGCTGCCCACCCCTCATTCCCCAGACCTCACATTTTTCACAGGTGGCCTCATCAGAGGCATCAAGGCAGTCAGGGGTGTTGTCACACTCCAGGAAACTGTCGATGCAGCAGCCATCATCACAGCGGAACTGGGTGGAGTGACAGGTGCCAGAGCACACTGGGTGGGGGCAGAACCGGGTGGGGATGAGGTCAGGCTCAAGCACAGAGCAAATGCCAAGGATCCATCATCTACTTCAGTCTCTCGTCCCCAACCCGGCTTCACAACACATCCCCCATCCCCTTTCCACCAACCCGACTCCCCCTAGGTGTGAATTTGGCACATCCTGATAGAAGGATGCTGGGCTAGAAGGGGTGGGGTGTTTGTGGTCCTTCCACATACTACGAGGGAAGAAATGGATTGGGCCAACACAGGTTGGCCAAGGCATGGATGGAGCTGGAGACATAGCAGGGGTGAAGGAAATAGGAAAAGAGTAAAGCCCACCTGGATGGTGCCTTTCCATGGAGGGGCCTAGGAGAGAGAACAGACAAGTGAGAGGAGGCATGGCCAGGGTCCAATAGGGGTGAGATGACTGGGGGATGCCCACTTCCTTACCAGTGATGAGAGACTACCAACCCTGGGGGAAAGTCACCCAAAGCTGCCTCTCAAATGCCCACCTTGCACACCCCGGCAGGCTAGCATACACTCCTCTTCCCGAAGGTAGTTGTTCTTGTTGCCTAAGCAACCTCCATAGACGAACCTCTTGCAGATCTGTTCTGTGGGGTCGTAGTACCAGCGGGGAAAGGAACCCCGGCAGCGGCCCACCTTGTTGGATGCAAGGCAATAGTCTATGGGAGAAGAGCTTGTAAGGGGGGTCTGCAGGGCCAGTCTACAGAGGGAGGTGGCTCCAGACACTGCCTCCCCACCTCTCCCTCACCTTCTGTCTGCTTGGCAGATAGCACAGTGACTGTGACGTTGGCCGTGTTCTCAGGTTCGTCTGAGCCAGTCACTGTTAGCTGGAACAGGTAGATGGTGCCTTCCTTGAGTCCCCATAGCTCTACCTGGTCCGGATCTTTCCTCTACACATAGGAGTGGCCATCAGGCTGCGTACATCCTAATACCCTCAGTCCACCCCAGGCCCTCTCAGTCAACCCAGGCCCTCTGGGAAGATCAGAGGGACTTAGTATTGCAGTGTGGCCGGGGCTGGGCTTGAACCCACCACCCTCGGTATATGGGGCCGGCACCCTACTCACTGAGCCACAGGTGCCACCCGGGACTTAGTATTAAACGCATCCTCAGCTTCTCTCCGCTCCACCCGGCCTGGAAGCACTGGTTGGCCTATGGCCCCAGAAAGGGGCTCCAGGAGGCTAAGGGGGAAGTCACCCCAATGTCTCACCTCTATCTTGACGTCTGTCTCACCCTGCAGCAGGCGCCAGTTGGTGTTGTTTACATCCTTTAGCACCAGGGGTTCCTGGGGCTGTACTTTCAAGTCTATTCCCACCCAGGTTTTGGGGATCTGGGACCCTGTGGGGAACGTGAAGTAAGGTCAGCTGTCACTGAATGGACCAGGTATCTTCTGGGGTAAAGTGGGGTGGTAGCAGTATGGGCCGCACCTAGACTTACTTGGGACTCAGCAGCCTGCAAGGGATACAGTTGGGAGCTCATGACGAAACCAGCTTCTCACTGTCTATTCAGACACATTATGTCTCTGATATACTGCAGACATTTTTATGTTGTAAACCCACTTTCTGAAGCAAATTACTAAACAGCATGTGCCACTTGATCTCATTTAGGGAAAAAAATACATAGATGTTTGAGGGAGTGAGTTTGTTCCTATTTTTCACAATGACCAGGTACTTGGGTTAACTGCTTTAAAAAGTTAAAGTAACAATTTTTTTTTTTGAGACAGTCTCATTATGTTGCTCTCAGTAGAGTACTGTGACATCATAGCTCACAGTAACCTCAAACTCTTGGGTTTAAGTGATTCTCTTGCCTCAGCCTCCCAAGTAGCTAGCACTATAGGCACTCACCACAATACCTGACTATATCTTGTTGCAGTTGTCATTATTGTTTAGCTGGCCCAAGCCGGGTTCAAACCTGCCAGCCTTGATATATGTGGCCGGCGCCATAACCATGTGCTACAGACGCCAAGCCATAACAATTTTTTTTTTTTTTAAGTTAAATAGGAGGCCAGGCATGATGGCTAACCCTAATCCTAGCACTCTAAGAGGCTGAAGAGGAAAGAATGCTTGAGCTCAGGAGTTCCAGACCAGCCCAAGCAAGAGTGAGACCCCCAACTCTATGAAAAATAGAAAAGCCAGTCAGGCATTGTGGCAGGCAACTGTAGTCCCAGCTACTTGGGAGGCTGAGGCAAGAAGATTGCTTAAGCCCAAGAGTTTGAGGTTGTTGTGAGCTATGATGCCACAGCACTTTACCCAGGGCAACCGACTGAGACTCTGTCTGAAAAAAAAAAACGAAAAACCAGCTGGGCACAGTGGCTCATGCCTGTAATCCCAGTACTCTGAGAGTCTGAGGTGGGTGGATTGTTTGAGTTCACAAGTTCCAGACCAGCCTAAGCAAAAGCGAGACCCTGTCTCTACTAAAAATAGAAAAGCTGGCTTGGCACCTGTGGCTCAAGCCGCTAAGACACCAGCCACATACACCTAAGGTGGCGGGTTCGAATCCAGCC